ACTTGAAATGCACTTTCCTCCTCGGGCCCAAACCTGTTGGAAAATCAGTGTGAAGGCACTGGATACTGTCGGAAAACGTGTGACTAATGGCTGGTAATTAGTTTGCTTGGTCCTTTGCTGCAAAAGCATCACCTGAGAGCAAGGTATCACTTGGTGGGGATATATTCTGTTCCCTCTGCTTTCTAGGCTCTTGCTTTCCCGGGAATAACTAATGCTGGATGAAAGCACAGCACAGTTATCGGGGTATTTAGATGAAAGCGTGTCGGGAGCTGATTTGGATCCGGATACTGGCTGCTGGAGGAATCGCTCCGTGAGCACCGCGCACGTGCAGCGGGAAGGGGCAGCACCGGTGCCGGGACGGGCTTATCTGCAGCAGAGCATTGGTGAAGTTTGATTACTGCCTTATCGCGCAGGGATGTGTTCATGCTGTTATTCAAATGTGCTCTTGCCGCCCTGCTCTCCATGAACACGATGGATGTGGCGGTGCAGGGCTCAGCGTGGGGATGCGGGAGAGCTTTGCGCTCTGGAGAATCCCAGTCTCCCCCATCCGCCCCAGTCCTGGGCTGGGAGCAGGGCAGGAGTCAGGACACGTTTTCTTTGGAGGGTTCTTTGAGGAGCTTCTGCTGGTGACAGGGCTTTCTGTTTTCACCTCAGTCTCCGGTTTAGATTGCTATTATTTTAACTCGTTTCGGTGTTTGATTCATTCATTATCCCACTTTGCTCCTGTGCATGTAAGTTAATCAATTCCCTCTTCTCTTGACTTGCCTTCCTGTCCTTTTTCCTTTTCCTCCTTCCTTTTCTTTCCCCTTTCTTTAACTCTTGCCCTCTCTTTTTTTTTTTTTTCTTTTTTTCTCTTTCTCTTCCTCTTCCTTTTTCCAAAGAGAAAAGTGCCAAAAAAAAAAAAAAAAAAAGCTTGAGTCTGCTCCAGCATCAGCCGCAAAACAAAAAGCAACCGGCAGCCCGTAATTGACAATTAAAGGGGGACTTACAGAAAAGCAAACTAGAAACACCCTCTGTGTATAGCTGAAGTGTAAGGAGCTGAAGGCGGGAGGGCAGCGAGCTACAGCTGCCCATCGTGCACATCCCAAAGACAGGAAAAGCAGCTCGGACTGGGATGGAGTGGGTTGGATCCCTGCATCCAGGGTCAGGACTGGTGCCCGGGGCAGGGTGCAGGGACCTAAGCTGCTCGTTGGACATTTGCTGCTAAAAATTGATGCATTTGCTAAGGGACACAGGGCAGCGGTGCTGGTACCAGCCCACAGAGAGGCTGACTGTGCTTGACTTATGTGTGTGTGTGTGCATATATATATATATATATATATGTAGGTATGTATGTATGCATATGTAAGTATATACTGTGAGCTGATGTGCACTCTTTAGAGCTTAAGACTTTATTTAGACTGAATTAACTGGCTCCACTTGTTTATCCATTTTAATAAATCAGCTCTCTCGGCTAAGCCTTGCTTAAAGAGCTGACCCTATCCAGATCCGCCAGGAGAGCAGCAGATATAAATATTTGCTTTTACAACAGGAAAACTCACCCAGGAATGTGTTGGTGAACGATCGTGGTTTTCAATGAAGACAGGGAAGCTGGTGACATGCTGGCGTGTCCCTGCTAAGTAAAGGTGGGTGAGGATGGGTGGGAATTGCCTTTATTTTAATATATATATTTTTTATTTTTTTCCAGGAGTTTAAGATGGGAAATGGGAAGGTCTTTCCTAAGAGCTTCTTGGAAAATCCCAAATGCAAAAGTCCCCGTGCAGGGCAGCAAAGCTGAGCAGCAGCTTGTGCAGTGCCAGCCCGAGCAGCACTGATGGCCCTGGCCCCCTTGGGCACCCGCTCCTTTACAGCAAAGCAGGAGCCAAGCGACTCGGTGGGTTTCAAGGATCTAGGCTGAAGGTGCATTGCATAAAGTCTGTTCTTTGCCATGCTGTTAGGTGGCAGAGGCAAATGGGACCAAAAGGAAAAAAAATCATTTAATCTTTAAAATGAAAGTCGTGTGCTAATGCTCTTGGCTGATGAGATGCTCTCTGTAGCAGAGACAGTTATTGACCTGGTAGCAGGTGAGAGAGGGAGAAGGAGGGCAGCCTAGATTTCAAGAATAGCCTAATTGCATGTAAATGGGTTGATTTTTTCTTTTTTTTTCCTTTTTTTTCCCCCCCAAAAAAGAAACCCAGGAGTGGAGATTAGCTTGAGCATGGGAGCAACTCCCAGGATCCTTCCCAAATCCATGCAGCAAGGCACAATTTATCCTGGAGGCCAGGTGGCATTTGCACAACCAGGAGCTGCAGACCAGGTGCCATCACCAGAGCTGGGGCAGGATTTACTGCCTCATTCATCATTTTCAGGGATACGGAGAAAACCGCTTGCTCGGAGTCACCCTGCTGTTAGCAAGCAGCATCCCACAGCTTTGCCCTCGGAGGCAAAAGAAGCCTGAAAGAGCCAGCAGCGCCTCTTTGTCACCCACAGGAGCGTGGCCTGTCCTCTTTCATCGTGTTTTGTATCTTTTTATTCGTAGGTTTCATTTATTTATTTATTTATTTTTCACGAAGCCAGCAGAAACTCTCAGCTCATCTGCACTTGCCAGCTGAGTCTCGCCGAGCTGCTCCTGGGGACGGCACTAGCCCCACGAGACGGAAGATAATTACAGCAGCAAGTAACACACCCGATCATTTTATATATTAAAAATATTTATATGCTATAAAATATGTATATATATATATATGTTTTTTTCGTTTAGTGAAGTTATGAATTTCTCTGAGACACTCAAGGAAACGCCAGGTGCCTGAGACCCCGCACGGGGAGCGCAGAAAGGTGGCCCAGCAGGGCCAGATGGCTGCGGAGCCCGATTTTACAGGCTTGTAGCTCCATCCCTCAAGCTCAGTGGGTTTGTCAGAAAGGTTTAATCGTAGCCCGAACAGGCTAGCAATAACAGCAGCAAAATCATGTTCTTTCCTCATGCATCGAAGCGTATAGGACTTCTGGAGGCCATATGCAGGAAGAAGGATGGTTTGAAACATGGTATTTTTGCACTCGTTGCTGAAATTCTTCCTGCTTTGAGTTTTCCAACACTATCTTTCTTCTAAAAAATGTGCTGAGACCTTTGCATTCTGTGGGCAAAGGACACGGTGGAGGGGAGCGTTGCATGGGATCATCTCCTCTCACCAATTTGTCTGTTCTGCTCCCAGACAATATATTATTTACCCAACTATCATTTATCCAAATAGTATTTATCTAATTGTTATTCATATAATTACTCTTTAATTATTATTTATCTAATTATTATATCATATTACACGATTATCATATTAAATAATTATTATTTTATTAAATACACCAGCCATCTGTGGTGGCAACTGCTGCTGGCAGAGACCTGCAGCGCGGCCACCCCGGGAGCTGCGCTGGTTCCTGTCACTGCCTGGGGGAAAATCCTCATTCGTGGCAATTAATTTGCCCTTCCCTCCATGCGTCCTCCTGAAGTGCCCAGATGCTGAGTCCTTTTTTTCCCCCAAGACCCAGCCAAGGAGCAGCAGGTGCCATCCCTTTCCATGTCTCATTTCCCATGGGTGTCTTGGAGCTAAGAACAGTCCTGGCTCCTGCTCAGGAGGCTCAGCCCATCGTGGCACCGGCGTCTGACAGACACCGTTCATTGTGCTTTTAATCACTGCCAATGAATTAAATTGCACATATTAAAAGCCAATTATATAATAACCCGTAGTTAGTGTCATACTTGTCACTGGGAGCAATACCCCTTCCCTGCTTATCAGGCCTGTTTGGGAAAACATCTCAAGATCCCTGATCTTTATAAGAATAAAGCTGTTATTTATAAATTACAGGGTGAAGTCCCGTTCAGGGTAAACTGGAGTCATGCTACGGGTTTCAGCTGAGCTGCAACTGAACAGCTATGCTGATCACCCGCTGAAGATTTGGCTTCTTTTCTAACATTGCAAAAATCAGTTGGGGTAGGAAGGGGTGCAGGGACCACAGAGGAGCTCTTCTCCACCACCTTTCCTTGCCCACCCTTCAAGTTCATCCGTATCTTTAAGTATAATACAGGCAAAGTGTAACTAAAAGATGTCAGTCCACTTTGCAGCCAGGCAACACGCTTTAAAAGGAAAAACATACACAGGAGACTCTTCCCTTTGGATGAATATTTCCATTTATTCCAACTGGAAAAAAAAAACATTTTTCTTTAAATATACTTAAGTGTTTTTTTTATTATTCTTTTTAAAGGAATAATAATTATCACATTGTCCTTTACAAACAACAAAAAAATTCCTAGCAATAGTCTGTGGCATGGAGACATCCGTCGTCAGCATCTCCTGCATCTGCTGCTTTGAGGAGGCGACGCTTCGGTCCCGCGCTCGGGACCGGGTGCTCGGGCACCCCATGGGACACCCATCACGGGCAGTGCCTCCATGGATTAAAAAGCATACAGAGAAAAAAAAAAAACTCACATCCACCATAATACAATACAGTTGAGCCCTATTTATATAACACTCGACCATGTCGATGCTTCTGTTGGTTTTGTTCTAGCTCCAGGATCGGGGCTTGCTCCTGCCCTGGGAAAAGGCACCTCTTCCAGAGGCAGGAGCAGAGCCGCAGGGAGGAGTTTGCAGTCGTTCTCCTAGCGCGTTAGGTAGTAGGCAATATTGAAACGTCCACGTGGTAATGAACAGCAGTTAACATGACCCAGGAAACTAGAGCACCATAAGACAAGTCTATATTCAAAACAACGTCATGCTGACATCACACAATTGCACCATTACACTTTTATTTACTCCAAATAATAGTTCGACGTTTAGTAACTTCGGCGTTCTCTACAGAGATGTAAAATTCCTTCTCCGGCTTTGGTCATTTACAACTTTGCAGACATTTGGTAGTTCTGGTCTTTAACCCCCGCCCCGCTCCAAAAAAAAAAAGGAAAAAAAAAAAAAAAAGTCACTTTTGCAACTGTCAGGATTCCTGTTTTTGAGTGATAAAGTGTACCTGAAAATCACAGGTGTGAGCAGACTTCAAAATGCCACCGAGGCCTCTTCAAGATTTAATGAATCAGAAAATGTTCTCTTCATTTACCAGGAAACAAAATAAACTAAAAAAAAAAAAAACCCTCAAACAAATAACTCAAAAATTCACTGATATACTTCAGAAATCTGATGATGAAATGAAAAGGAGATTCCAAAGTACCACTTGCTCAGTTCTGGCTGAAAACAGTTATGAACGTGCATGCGTTTTCCCAGTGATTCCTAAGATATAGAAATTCCTCTGATATTACAAAATACAAAAATATTTTCTCCAAACTCTCATTTACATTGCATTTACAACAACCATGGAAATAACTTAGACTCCCACACTGTCTGAGAGAGGCAAATTACTTACCAAAACGGGCAATGGAAAACAAAAGCGTGGTGGGGAGCAAAAAGCTACTAGTGAACTGGTGGTTACAGTCAACAGTGGCAACTGAAACTCGAAAGGGTGGCACTAACCAGGAGAAAGAGGGAAAACTACTAGGTGAATATTAGAGGCTAAAGTGAACTTCCTTTTTTTCCTCAAAAGTTAAGATGTGCAAAATATATTCGCCGTGCCCACGATTATGACTATTTATAGAAGCGAGTCTACAACCTTCTTACAAATCCCGACTCTCCGGGCCTTTTTTTGTCACAACACAAGCGCTTACATGATCTAAAACAGTGCAAGTTGGTGCGTTTCATTTACATTCTCTGGAGGCGCCCGGCGCGGGAGCCCTTAGGATATGATGCAGTTTTTGCTCTTTTGCCTTTTCCGGCTGTGCAGCTGTCCCCGGGCGCCCAAGGTGGAGGACTTGGGCACGCTGTAGGAGCCGTATTTGTGCAGCAGCTCCTCGCTGGTCACGTACCGGAGCCGCGCGGGCTGCGGGATGGGCTCGCCGAGGAAATAGCCTTCGTTGTCGGACTCGGAGGACGAGGAGCACGTGGAGCACCAGTCGTACTCGGCGAAGTAGGGCCCCCAGCGCTCGCCCAGGTGGTTCTGCAGCGCCAGGTCCGACACGGTCCGCGGGCAGTGGCCGTAGGGGTCCCTGTGGGCGCCGCGCTCGCGGGCCTCGCGGCAGCCCCGCGGCGGCACGAGCGGGTCGTAGTCGTCGCGGGCGCGCAGCGAGGGCCGCTCCTTGAGGCGGCAGCACTGCTCGCTGGCCAGGTGCAGCGCGTTGTCGGAGCGGGAGCGGCGCGAGCGGCGCGGGCGGTGCGGCCGGCCGCGGCGCTCCTCGTCCCGCGCGCCCGTTCGCCGGCGCGGGCGCTCGCTCAGCGGCGCGTGCCGGGCGGGCTCCGGCGCGGCCAGCGCGCCCGCGGGCCCCGCGCTGCCGTAGTCGAAGCTGCGGTGCACGCGCCCGTGCGGCGGCCGCTCGCGGTAGCCCCGCGGGCTCGCCAGGTCGCGCAGGGCCGGCTCCGCGGCCCCGTACTGCTGCACGGAGAGGAGGCTGCGCACGGACTCGGCGCTGCGGAACTGCACCGAGGAGTTGAGCGTGCCCATGGTGCTCAGCTTCTCCGAGACGTTCATGCCGGAGTCTTTGCTCAGGTCGGGCATGGAGAACCTGGAGAGGTGCTCCTGGCGCTTGGCCCCGCCGTCTGCAGAGAGCCCTTCGCAGGGAAAGGGGGAAAGGGAAGAGATGAGAAATTTTCTACTAGCACAGGTGCAGCAAGAGGACCTGGTTTTGAAACTGTGGACTTCTGTATTAGAAAAAAATTCGTTTTTCAGATGCCCTCCTAAAGAACCACCCGAGAGGCTGATAAAGTTTGTTTTTAGAAAACAGCTGGTTCCCCCTTTGGGGAATTCACACCAATTTAAGGTGTTTTCAGTTGGACTCCAAGGAACAGTAGATGCTTTTCGTGACTTCCTTCCCCATATGTCTACGCTGTCTGCGACTTGACAGGAATAACTAGCGATACCCTGCGACAAACTCGTGCGTCGGAGGTAACCTGAGGTCTCCTGCGCGCTAAAATAACTAGGGTGCCATGATCCGGCACCCACACCTTGCACAGGGATGACGCCTTTGGGAGAAGTTAACAAAAATCAGAGCCAAAAACAGGGCCACCAACTAATCCAGGCTTGTCCCCAGGCCACACGTCCCAGGGGGACAGTAACGTGCATGATGTGTCCCAAGTGCGTGTCACAGGACCACGTGCACATAGATGATGCTCTGCTAGGTGAAGATGGGTACATGTGGACATGGGCTTGTCCCCTGCCACCAAACTGTCCTCCTGTGGTTCCTGCTGGCAAGGGAAGAGTGCAAGTCCCCAGGCACCATATATCTCACTGCATGCACCATATATATCTCAACATACAGTTTGCACTGTATATCTCACTGCTTGCACTGTATCTCGCTGCTTGAAGTTCATAAGGAGCAAAAACCTCAGCGAAGCCACAGACCACCCACCGGAGCTGCCTGTAGGTAGGAAAAAAAGCTGGAAGTTCAGGTCGAGAGCAGCTCGCTGCAGATATCCAGGGAGCCGGACATGGAGCGGAGCCAGCAGGGACAGCTCCAGCTTTTCACGGAGTCCCCATGAACTTCCCCATCAGGAGAAGCATCCGCTGGGGCTCCCTGCACACCGACCAGCCCTGATCTCCCACAGGTGCTTTCCATGAGCTGGGAAAGCCTTCGTGGGGACAGCAGGGATGCAAGAAGCCAGCACAGCATCCTCCCTCGAGCGAGCCCACCAGCTTCCCTGGCTATTTTCTGACCCTCTCCACCTAGGTTTGACAACTGGCAGCAGCGCGTGCTGCGTTAGGAGCCCGGGACGGTGCATTCCGCGAGCCCTTAACAAAAGCTGCTTACTTTTCAGCTCCTTGGGCATTAGCTGCTGCCTGCCAAACATTAACAAGAGCAAGGTCTGCTCTGCTTGTGTCAGGTTTGCTTGGGATTAGCCTTGAAACAATCAACCGATACTGCAAAAATGGGTAAAATCTTCCAGAAAGACCCCATCTCAGCCTGATCCTATGCTCCATAGCACCAGGAAGGGCTCGGGCACCTCAGTATAACGCGCCGTGGATGTTTTATCCCGGCTCTTGCACTGTTTGGCTTTATTCCCTGGGTCCCAGTTGCTGGAGGCAAAGTCTGAAACAGGAACTTGCTGCTTTAGTCAAGATGTTTCTCGGCTTTATGATTGCAGAGAAAAGTTAAGTGAACTAATGCCCTAAGAGAAGTGAAAGCTTCTAAAATAAAAGAGGAAAAGATGCATTTTGTTTTGGAAAGGGCTCTTCTCTCCCCTGCAGCCGCTCTTTGGGTGAGCACTATCCTGGCAAACTCATTCCTGCTGGAGCTCCTGCATGATAAGTTGTGATGGCCAGGAGATTGTGGGGGTTCCTAGTGGAGCATCCAGATGGCCTGGTTAGAATTAAGCACATACTTTTTTAAGATCTGGAATTGCTGGTAGAAAATGTTGAGTGCAGCCCATACGCAGCCCCGGGCTGCACATATCCCATGCACACCTAGAAGCCTCCCTGCGGAAGAGCTCAGCCTGCTGTGGCCCACGTGGAGCCGGGGGAAGCACCAGAGAAGCTCCAGCTCTGGGATGAGCTTTGCTGAGTCTAAACTAAGTCCATTCAAAAAGCACCTGGGATTTCACGCCGCTTCCTGAGGTTGGGTTTTCCGATTGGGCTTGAAACGGAGTAGAAGGAGTGCTGGCACCGCAGGAGGGAAGGAGGGGAACCTCAGCGGAAAGAAAAAGCTCCTTTAGCTTCTGTCCTACAAACCCGCTTCCTCTGGAGCTCCCAAATTTGGTTTTACCCGCACTAGGGATGCCTTTCGCTCCCCCACAAGCCACGCTTTCCATGAAAAGCATTCCTGCAGACGCACAGGGCACCATGTGGTGCTCACAATCACGAGCACCAGGCTCCAGGCCGAGGAGGTGACTTCCATGCTGGGCCAGAGAGCTGCTCTCAGCATCAGCTTCACCTTCTCGCTGGCGCAAGAGCGCCCTCGGGAGCAAAGATGTACCAGGAGCTGGGGATGCCTCCTCCCTGGTGACAGCCAGGAGGGTCTTTTGGAGCATGGAAATGCTCCTTGTGCTCCCTGGAAAGCCCCAGCACCAGGAGCGCTCCAGCCTGCAGCGAGTGCAGGGGACAGCAGTAACAGCTCGCCTGAAAAATGCGATCTGCAAAACACGACTTACGAGCAACGTTTGAAAGCAGAGGGGTTGTTTAGTCTAGCGAGGCGGAGGCTCAAGGGGATGTAATCACAGCTTTCAAATACAGGGAACCGCTTGCACAGAGGAGGGGAACACGTTATCCTCCAGGTCCTCGGAGCTGCCGCAAGGAGAATTCAGCTCAGGAAAGGGAAGGTTGGTCAAGTATCAGCTTGGGTGTTGGAGAAGAGTATGGGGAGCCCAAGGTTGGAAATACAGACAGCTGGAGGTCTGCTAAACATGAGGCTGGAGGGAACCAGCACGGCCCACTTGGGCGCATGCAAACAGCCACCCTGGATTGCAAAGGGAGGCTCTCAACACAGCAGAGGTAGAGCTGAGCACCTGGCTGCTCATCACACCTCAAGCAAAGGAGACAGCTGCAACTTTATGATCCAACTTGGATGTTGGACTTTGTCTCAGCGTCAGCAAGAAGCAGAAGAAGCTGAAGGAAGATGAACCACCGAACGCTTCTGGAAAATAACTCCAGCTCCTTCCTCTGTATCACAAAACCAAAGGGGACCATTTTTTTTTGTTGTTATAGTTGTTCTACAGTTTTCAACCTCTCCTAACACTGAAGGAGAAAAGGGGAGTGGAGACAAACAGCAGTTAGGTTGTTAGGTCCCTTTTGCAAATCAGTCCTGCAAGGATCAAAGATGACGTATGTGTTCATACATTTTCCCCTTTTTTTTTTTTTTCCTGGATGTATCACAGTTGTTTAGCCCAGGAAAAACACGCTGGTTGAGGCCTTTGGGCACGTTACAATAGAGACGGTAAGAAAAGCTTGCGCCACACACACAAGATCGCATTCCACACGGCAGCTGCACCAGTTCAACAGCTCTTTTCCCTGGATTTATACCTACAGCACATGAAGGGGGGGAACGATACGAAGCTCTGCTCTTATCCTTGACCAGCTTAACCTTCTCAAGGAACACTTAAAAATCTATTTCTCCTCTTGCATATGCCAGTGTTGCCATTCAGTGCGAGCTTACATCCAAAACACTCTTGCTCTCTGCAAACAGCACAGACTGTTACGGGAGAATAAAATTTAGCCTGCAGGTACTTCCTTAAGTGGGCTATTAGACCAGCTGGCATTTGTGCAAAAGGCTGCCTGGAATCAGCAGTAATCAGCTCTTGCTTTCTAAGCCGGCTGCCAGGAACACAGAGCACTTGCCTGCCCTTTGCAGAGGGCTATGCAAGCACCCCATAGACCTGCTCCACTCTGGGAATCCATCCCAACGCTTTGGGGTCCGACTGTGCATCGCCTGGGAAATGACTGACCTCTGGTAGGATCACACTCCTTCCCAGAGGGGAAAAAGGGCCATCATCTGGTCAGGGGAGGCAGCCTGCTCTGCAGAGGACAGGGACTCCCCTCCACACCCAGTCGTTACCTGTTTTTACTGACATCTCCTGCTAATTATTAGCTAAGTTGTAATAGAAACATCACAGCGAAATTTGCTGCTGGGGAGCAATCAGTCAGCTCTTAACATGTGCTCTGCAGGTCGGGGACTGTTTGCCCTTCGGCTCCCTATAAAAAAACGTTTTCAGCGATGCCATAAAAATATCAGAGGGATCCAGCACTGATTATTTCATTTTAGGAGGTGTGGTGACTGGTTTTTTGTTTGTTTGTTTTGTTTTGGCATGGCTGAGAACCTGGAGTTTCTTGCAAAGGACACACTGGGTGGAAGTCACTGAGTGAATATCCCAGAGCAGCCTCTGTGCTTCCCTTCCTCAGCATCATTTATGGGAGCTCAGCATGTGGAAAAGGGCCTTCTGGAGCAAGGAGCACCACGGCCTGGTTTCCATTTGCAAAGCATTTGCCACGGAGCTTGCTCTGCTGGAGCAGGGAAGGATGGAGAACCAGGCACCCGAGTGCTGCATCCCCACATCCCTGTGCCAACATCCTGCCAACAAATTCACCCAGCAGCTGATGCTGCCATTTAACAACCTGCCTGGGTTCCAAAGGGAAGAGAGAAAGAGAATGTTTGCGGGCAGGTGACCAAATCCCTCTGTCCTCAAATGCTGCCTATTAAAGGCGATAATAATTCCCTCCCTTCATCTGTGATGCTGGAGGAGCTGCCTGTTATTATCACAGCGCCGAGTCCCGGAGCTTGAGCAAAGGCAGTTTCCAAAGCAAGGAAAATTATTAGATCTGAGGCATTAATAAAAATGTTATCACCTCACCCTTCAGAGGTGCTGCTTAAATTCATTACAAGCCTCATCATGCTGAGCAACTCCTTCAAAAGAGCAGCAAAGAACCGAGTCATTAACGCTGATGCTGTCTGCAAGGAAACTTGTATTTTAGCTGTGTAGGGAAGCCTGGGTACCTTTGGTGGATCTTCTGCTCAGCATTTTGGAAAAGGGGCTTCTAAAATGGAGAGAATGAGTTTTCACCAAAATATGAGTCGCTAAACAACTTGTCCCATGACCTGTGTCCCTGATTATCTTGTTACACTTAATCTCCAACATAGGAAACAGCCACCTCCATACCATGTATTGCTCCTGGATGCTCGGTGTTGCTCAAGACCAGCTGCACTCGTGGGTTTTGCACAACCCGGGTTTTAACAACGCGAGCTGCTTTAGAAACCTGTGGCTTTGCTTCCAAGAAGCTTCCCAGAGTGATTCCCGATTCCCTCTCCATGTCACGTCTCTCCTTTCCCTACGGATATTTAACCGTCCCCTCCATCCCGTTATCTCCTTGTCTCCCACCTTTTCTCGGGTAGGGATGCACAGATGCTTTCAACCCCTGGTGGGGGGCTAGGAGGTGCAGGACACCCTCCGTGTTGCTGGCAGTGAGATAAAAGTTGGAAAGATGGACCTGAATTTGCAGGGATGGGAGCAGGACATGCCCAAAGCCACACAACACTTGGCTGCAGCGGGAAAGGACTAGGGAGACAGGATCTCTGGGGAACACACCACACTTGAGAATCTTTTCCAAGGAGTTTTCTGTAAGGGACTCTGGAGCAAAAGGCATTAGATGTGCCAGAGGAGCACAGGCGTCCCATAATATAAAGTATTGCAGACTCCAGAAGAACACCATCGTGCAGGGCTTGCACCCAACCTGATACCCACTGGACATGCCCTTAATGCACACGTACGCATTCCTGAGCCCACGAAACCCAAACGCATTCGGAGCCAGATGGCCACAGAGTATTTCCTTAGGAGGCATTCATGGGAAAAGGCCTAGGCTGGAGAGGAAAAGTGTCCTGCCCATTTTTTTCCCCTGCCACAGGATGAGAAGTAAGAATAAGAGCTGTGTATAAAGGGGAAGGAATCTGGTTTAACTAGTAACATGCTTGATGACTGCACAACATGCACAAAGGGTTAAGTGGGCCAACTTCAAAGCGTTCACAAATATTTTTAGCCCTCTGTGGCTGCTCGCAGCAGCTCTTTAGATGCTGAGCACTGGGATCTGTCTCTGCTTTAGGAGTTGGCCTTGCTGCTTCTCCTCCGCTCAAAGGGGAGGATTAAAGAGCTTGGAAACATTTGTTTTGTGCTATGCAGAAAGGCCAAGCAAGGGAAAGGCAGGAAGAGTGTGGCCATGGGGGCCCGGCAGGCACCGCGCTCTGCCTCCGTGGGGAGGCTGCGCCTGCAAAGGGCTTAATGCAGCCCAAGGGAGCAGGCTGTTTTCTTTTTATTTCTTTTTTAAATGTGCAAAAGAGGTTTTTCACATTACCAAAAACGTTTACTTAAGGCTCTGAGCGTGCAGGGAGCACCAGCAGAGCAGGAGGCAGAGCAAACCCGTCAGCCTCCCCCTTGGGTGCTTGGAGAAACCTGGGAGATCCCTGATGGAGGGAGGAAATGTTTGGGTTATCTTTAGCCTGGATGGCAAGACACGGGTGTCACAGGTCATGTACGGGTGGCCCTGTCCAACGCAATGCTGTGGGTCATGTGCAAACGCCCTTGTCACCACCACATGTCCCTTTGGCTCAGTGAGCTCGCTCCACTTGGGAAGCTCCTCGTCCTCACCAGGCCTTGCTGCAGGCCCTGGGACTGTTCTGACATGCTACAGAGGCAAACGGGCAGCCCAAACCTTTGATCATCACCCAAACATGCTCCCGGGCCAGTCTACTTCCCCGTCCCATGTGCCCGTGCCATGGGGACCTACCGGTGGCATTGGAAAGCGCCAGGGACTCCATGGAGCCACGCGGGGTCTGCTCCGTGGGCGTCAGGTCCTCCGTGAAGCTAAGTGCATTGATGGGATGCCGGGTCCGACACTGCTGTGTGGGCATCCCGCCTTCCTCCTCCTCCTCCTCTTCGTACTTGGGGACCTTCATGCTGCCCCTGGTCTCGGGGAAGCTCTGGTTGGACATATCGCTGTAGCTCTCCTGCGAGCGGAGCCTTCCCGAGTAGTAGTCCTCCTGGATGAAGCTGCTGCTGTGCCCCTTCATGGCCAGCGAGGAGCTTCTCTTGGGGTTGCTGAAATGTTTAGCCCATAAGTCCGGCTGGGAGGCTGGCACCTGGCTGGGGCTGTACGAGGTCCTTATATTGCATTGGCTGAGAAGCTGCAGAGGACTTTGACTCTGGCTCTGCTCCATTTTATTCCCGTAGTGGTAGAGCTCCTCCCTGCTCCTCCACAGGTGCTCCCGGTTGAGGCTGGGCGTCTGGCTGGAGAGGCTCAGCAGGTCCATCTGCAGCGAGAGCGGGTCCACGTCCGCGGAGAGGCGGTTGGAGGTCACCTGGAGCTGGCCGCACGCGTTGAGCACGCTCTCCTCGCCCTTGCCGCCCTTGTTCTTGCCGATCTTGGCGCTGCGGCGGGACTCCTTGGCGCGCGCGTTCTGGAAGGCTGAGTCCGACGAGTCGGAGCCGTTGGGGTCGTCGCCAACGCTGCACGCGCGCGAGCAGAAGATCTGCCCTTGCTTGGGGAGGAAGGGGCGGCCCAGCAAGGACTTCTTGCACTGGGCGCAGCAGAAGCAGGTCTCGGTGGCGTGCCAGTGCTGCCCGTCGTACGTCATCTGGCCTTGGTCGATGCCTTGAGCAGGGGGACAAACACATGGAGAGCGTCAGAATTAAGCCACGTCCTGGAAGTTAAGTGCTCCCTGCCTCAAACTTCATGTGACCATCACTTAACACTGCACTTAACACTTGCCTCGAGCAGCCATCCCACATGAGCAATACACACCTGGGCTTGCTTCCGAAAGGACTTCAGTTGGGTTTCTCCAGTGAGCGAAACTAAGACCCTTCCTAATTCTTTGGAGGTTCTCGGCTTTTGCCAAGGACTTACTCCTTGCTGGAAAAGGCAGCAGAATGGAGCCTCATGCTATTTCATATTAAAGGAGGTTATTTCCAATCATAAAGGAGTGCAAGAAGCTCTCCATAAAGATCTTCAAGTCAAAGCAATAACCCCCTGACTACTCTACAAAACAGCAGTAGCAACATCTCCCACCAAACAGTGCAGGGGAACCCGCACCGCCCTTGCAGCCGCGCAGCAGGGCAGGATCACGTCCCTGGCACCGCAGCCCCTCGGACCGCGGCCGCCCGGGGAGTCGGAAACTAACACTGTGTTAATGGTGCGGTTTATTCCAAGCTAAATTTGCTTTAGCATAACTGCTTTTTTTTTTCTCCTTCTCCTCCTTATTACGAGCAAAGTGCTTTTATAAAAGGAGCGAAGTGTTATGTTGGCAGACAGTGGGTGGGATTCAATCAGCTCCCTGCTCCGTGACCTGAAGTCACCCATGGGAAAAGCATCCACGTCTTCCTCACCCAGCGACCCTAGAGCACAACCCAGCTCTGATTCAAAGCCATAGGCACCCAGGGCTGGTTAGGACAACCCGCCATGGCCACTGCTCGCAGTTTTGCCCCTCGTTGCTCCAAATGAGAAGGTTTACACCAAAATGACACTTTTGAAGTGTCTGCACCAGCTCAACCACATGCAAGCTGAGCCCATGCAGGTGCATGCAGCTCATTGCACACACAGAATACCCAGACTTAATTTTTTCTCGCCTTTTGTAAAAGACAAATCTGTTACGGTGTGCCCAGTCGTTACCAGCCGCGCTGAGGGCCAGGAGCAGGACACAAAGGGTGACAGATGGGGCGGCAGGAGCGCGCAGGCCGCGCAGCTGCTGCTCCCTGCGGCTCCGGGGAAGGAGGTGCAGCAGGGCCGGGCGAGCGCAGCTCCGAGCGCTTTGCTGGAGCCCCGCGATGTCCCCCTGCCATCTGGCAAAAACCTTTCTATTTTCCTCTCCCGTCAGCCTGTAAATTACTCGGGTGCTGTGCAAACGTGGGCTCATCTAGATGGACAGACCAAAGGAGCCTGCAAATGCACTCTGTAAAGCAGCACAGGGATTGCAGAGCGCAGGGAGGCTGCTTCAAAGTCCTCCTTAACCACTGCAAGGGGGGCCTCATTGCAATGTGGTACAAAGCAAAAAAATAGCTAGTTCCTAGCAGAAAACCTGTTTTAAAACATTGAATATCCTTGTCCTGGAACCAGAGCTCGACCTCGATGCATTATTTCTTTTTGTCTGAGAACATCTATCTGTGGCTTAATTAAAAAAAGGCAAGGAGAAACAATAATGATTCCTAACGAACAAACATCTTTTCTGTCTAGTAGCTCATTAAGCCATGCAATCCTTCAGCAAGCTTGGCTGGTAAGAAACTGAAATTAAAAGAGCTGGACTGTTTAAAAGAAAATGCTATTAAAAAAAAAAAAGATTAAATTAGGCAGAGAGATGCAGGATTGAGAAAGCTTTCCCTAGTCTTAATAGCTCCTGAGGTTGTTCTCTTATATTCCATCTTGTTTCAACAAATCCCTCTCCTACCACAAAAAAGAGGATAAAATCTGCCCTCCCTGGAAAAGCAGGGTTTTGAGCAAAATGCGAGCGCTGCAGCCTCTCGAGGGGAGCCAGGCTCTGCAGCACCAGAGGCCTCCTCTCCGCGCACGGAGCAGGCGCCAGCCCCAGAGATTCCCAACGGGAGACGGGGCCGGCTGTGCCTGGAGCCCCAGCGGCCCCGGCGCTGCTGCCAGACACTTAATGAAACAGCTCCCGTTGCCAGGAAGGGGCTGGGCGCTGCTCCCTGTGCAAAGGCTGCTCCGGCTGCAGCACGCCGCGGGACGTCCCCGGGGGCCCCGCGCTGTCCCGTACCGATGTGCTGGGCGCACGTGTCGCAGTACTCGGCGTAGAGGGACTCGAAGCAGCCGCAGCAGTAGGGCCGGCCGTCCTTCATGATGTACCGCTGGCCCCCCAGCACCGTCTCGCATTCGAAACAGCAGAAGTGCTTCATGTGCCAGTGCCTGCCTTCGGCCTCGGTGCACTCGTCAGCAAAAATGATCTGCGGGGAGAGCGGGAAGAGGGAAACACGGGGTGTAAATGCAGCTGGTGAGGGTACCAGGAGGAGGACACTGCTGGGCTGCGAACCAAACTCTGGCATTTTGCACTCAAGCTGCTGGGAATCTCGCTTGGTTTGGCTTTGTCCTCAGGCATTTCCCAAGGAAATTGTCCCCAGAGGAGCTTGGCATTAAAATGCAAGCGCCTTAGGACTGCGTTAGTGAAGACAGGGAGTTCAGGAACATCTCCTAGGAACGTGGCCTGAGGGCCGGTGCTCAGGGGAACTGCAGCAGGAGGGATCGATGGCAGTAATAAATACCCTCATAAACAACTTATTGATCCGGCGGACTCTCAAACAACAGAATAGTCATTTATTACACCTCTACCCAGTGCTGAGACAGGGAAACTGTGCACAAAAGATGGAAAAACAGCAAAAAATGGGTGCTGTGGGGAACGGAGAGGGGATGCTGAACAGAGCTGTGTGCTGTTTTATAAAGGTGGTGACAGTCATTAAAGCAATGGGGAAACCGAGGCACAGAACAGAGCCAAGGGCTAGTGCAAAAGCCACCTGAAAGGCTCCCAGTCCCCCCTCCTTGCAGCTACTACTGGATCTCTTAATGCAAGAAGCAAGTGTTAAAGAAGCCGTAGGAAAGATTTGTATGAGAATTTGCAAGGATTAAAAAGTACATGAAGAAAAATTACCCAGCCTAAACCAACAGGAAATAGGGGCAGTTGAATGGTTAGAAGTTGTTTTTCTTACTGGTAACATTACAAATTTAATTGGATACATACGTCAACGTTCTTTATATTTGATGTGCACACAGCCTTAGATTTTTACTATTATACGCTTGCATGGATGGGACTTGGTATTTTACAGTACATATGGTTTTCCACATTATGGTTTTCATAAGTTTAAAAGCCAGAACAATTTCCGTTGCCAGCCTTTTAAAAACTGAGATTGACACTTGAGCAGCGCTCAGAGTCAGCTCCGCACGGGTTTCTATATGTGCTTTGTATTCCATTTATTCGGCTCCCTGCAACTCCCTAATCTCCTCTACTGAAGCCTGGTTCAGCTTGGCGGATCCTTGAGCACTACCTGCTTGTAAGAAACCCAGCACTCAACAAAACTACTCATAGTTTTTTTTCAGGGAGAAGGAAACAATGACACATACGGATGGGCTAAAATGACATGGCACGGCTGTGTTGTTTCAGGAAATTCTTATGGAAAGATCTCCTGGGCTCCCTGTGCGAAGCCAGGGCTGATCTTAAGAGTAACTCTAGGCAGATTTCAGCTAAAAATCCCAGAGTAACTCCCCCAGATGCAAACTTGAAACTCAAGGAACACTTGACACGAGCCCTAGACCAAGCCACATCATCAGATTTCCCATGCTCTCCCCACGCATCTCCATGCAGAGACTGTGTTAATGCACCCAGTGTCATCATGCTGGGTGCTATGGGAGCTGGGACAAACCTGGGGGCGAGTATCCCTGTTGTGTCCCCACTGTGAGCCAGAGGATGTGCATTATTAATGCTGATTTTAACATGCAGAAACAGGATATTCCGCGTCTGTCCAGCTTGCACAGAGTGAGGTCCTCTCATCAAGCTCATGTCTACAGCCCAAGTCCAGCTCCCAGGCTCAAATCATGACCTGGCCCCAGGCTGTCCTTCATCCTTATGATTCAGTTTCTTAACAAAAGCCCCTCTCATCTTAGAAACACACTAAATGGACCCCGCTGGACTGATCTACCATAGCAGAGCTTAAACTCTAGCCTACTAGAGGGGCAGGAGCTTGGCCCGCTCTTACCTCGTCGCACGCCGCGCACCGGGGCTTGAGGCACTCGGCGTGGTGCCTGCCGCAGTAGATCTTCCCGTCCTGGTAGAAGTAGATGAGGTCGACGAGCAGCTCGTTGCAGACGCTGCAGATGAAGCAAGGAGGGTGCCAGCAGACGCCGTGCCCGGCTCGTGAGGCGAAGACGGCCATGTCCCCGCCGTTGATCTGGCCCCCGCACTGTTAGAAGAAGCATCGTGTTTTATGTGAGCCTAGAGAGATCATGTCCACGAGGGTCAGGGCTTACATGACTGGCTGGTGCCAAAGCACCAGGTCAGGGCTAATGCGTAGCTCTGAGAAAGACAGCCCCTTTCTGGTGCCTTTTCATCTCCGTGGAAGCCCAGCGTAGGGTCAGGATGCCAACCATATGTCCCCCTGCTCTGCACCTTGGGATGGAGGACCAAAGGCTTGAATTGGACTCATCTACAATGCTCACTTTGGTCCTTGAACACCATGGGTGCTCTTCCCTGGCTGACCCATGGCTGCTGGGTGGACACTGCTCACCCAGGCCCTCCGGATCTGCCCCTACTCGCTCTGCCGCGAGCTGCTGCTCACCTGCTCGCAGATGGCTCCGGTCATGGTTACGGGGAAGGGCCGGACATTGCCTCTCCCTAAATTTTCCCTCTTCCTTTGATTGCTGAAGAGTTTGAGCTCCCTCTTCTCCTCCTCATCCAAGGAATTGCAATAGCGGACCTAAAAAACATACATTAGATGCAGGATTATAGGTGTCGGCAGGGATCTGCAGCCCCACGGGCTCTACAAACCCCATCCAAGGCACTAAGAAAACTAAGACTTGATTCATATGTGAAGCCATCTCCATAGCTGGAATTCCAGCAGGAACCTGCAAGCTGTACCGCCAATCACTATGGATCACCCACCCAATCACCCAGACCCAGCAATCACTGATGCTCTTCCTGCTTTCTCCTCCAGTCTCCAGCAGAAGTTTGACAACAGCTCAAATATTATTTCTTTAGTTATGTCTAGAGAGCAGCCCCCTTCTTCTGGTGCAAATGAAGGAGTTCCAGTTACTGTCATAGGATAAACTGCATGTTGGCTAGATTTCTAGATGGGAAGGCAGTAAGCAAAAAAGGAAAATAAAAGTATATAAACCACAAACACTGCAATTTCTCCAAACCTTTTAAGACAATCGGGTTTCCCTAGACACTCTCACCTTGTACATTTAGTCCTTGGCTGACTGCAATTTGGGAATACAACTGAGAAGCCAGCAGCAGAATCTAGTTCTGTCTCCATTCACTGTTTGGAGACCAGGCTCAGGGAAACGAGCAGGATTATTCATGTGCACGACAAACCCAGCCAGAATTCCCAAAGGGCCAAAACCTCCTGCCAGCTTGGCAAAAAAAAAAATAAAATCACAGGATGGTGCCTCCCACTTGCGAGAGCACTAAAAGCTTTTCCTTGTATTTTTCCTGCTCTTTCCAGCGGTCTGGCTGGAGTTTCTCAGCACCAGCCAGGAAGGTGCTGCGGGTTGGGTGCTGCTACCTCACCTAGATCAAAGAACATGTCACCGGAATGCATTTTTCCAGAGCTGCTTCTCCAAAGAAGGGCAAGGAAGTAACTTGCTGTTCGTGCAGGGAAGTCTTGCAGGCTCTGACATTCACACCAGCAAGAAGAGGACAGCAAAGGTCGGACCTTTTTTGGCTGCCCGGCAGCTTACCTCGCAAGATGCAATAACGCTTCTGTTTGCTCTGGCTGGTGTTGACTTGAACTCAGCCATTTCAGGCTCGTGCAACTCCTAACTCACAGTCAGGGAAAAACACCTCCTCTCTCGCAAGGGAGGAAAACCTTTTGCAGCTTGCATTAGACTGGGCTCCAGCTGATCCTCACTGCATCTCGAGTCACTTTTAACACAGCTTTGGCCTCTAAGGGTAGAGAATTTTTTTTCCCCCCCAGAGAAGTAAATTAAGGTAATTTCAAGAGTGAAAACCACAACTTAACTTTAAACCACCTCTTAAAAAGGGTCCAAATGGGTAGGAAGTGCATCCATTTAAGGGATGCAAGCTGCAAGCTCCCTAGCTTGCAAGCCTAGCTTGCAAGCCACAAGCTGCAAGCTCCCTAGGAAGCCGAGAGAGCGGAGAGGGGGCCCGGGATCGGGCACGTTGAGGGCACCCCGGCACCACTCACCTCATTGTCGTGCGGTGGCAGCTGGTGCAGGAGCTGCTTAATGCGCAGCTTCTCGCCGGGGCTGTTCACGTAGGGCACCTTGTCCTCGGGGAGGCAGCTGTAGTACTGGTGCACCTGCAGAGAGCAAGAAGAGGCGACTGCAGCAGCGCTCGGAGAGCAGCTGCGCAGGAGAGGCGGAAAATCCCTTTGGAGCCAAGCCCTCCGGTTATTCAAAGTGCAAAAACAAAGCACATCACTTTTTTTTTTTTTTTTTTCTTTTATATATATATTTTCCACCCACCCCCCAGCAAGGCTGCCCGAGAGCGGTGCCGGTGGCGGTCCGGTACCGTCTGCTCCGCCGGCCTCGCCGGTGCCAGCTATCTCCAGCCTCCACCTCCATCAAAACCCTCCATTCTTTTGTTTTCTTGATATTTTTTAAAATCGTTTCTCCCAAACAATTTATGGAGATACACTGGAAGGCTGAGGAGCGCGTGGCCAGAAGGCAGCACCCATGCCCTGCTGCCGAGGGACCGCACAGAAAGGAAGCACATCCTGCATCTCGGCATCTCCGCTCCAGCTGCCACACCTGGACATTTGCTTGAGGGCCAGGTAAGGCATCGGCTCTGGGATGCTACAACCTGAACCCCAGGGACATTTGGTGGGAAAAGGCAGCAGGAAGCGCAGGTAGCTGCTCCCCCATGCGGCTACCTGCAAGCCCCGGAGGCTTGCAATTGATATTCCTCCCAGCCTCTCCATTCTGTGGTATTTCTCTCTGAGACAGCCCTAAGGTCCAGCTTTCCTGTCACCAGGTTTTGTGGAGAGGGAGATTTTTATCAGACTTCCACCCGTAACCCTGCAGCGCTGCTGGCAAGGGAGCTGCTCAGTGCCAAGAAGCTGGAACTTGTTGAGCAAATGCCACCTGGATTTGTTTTGCTAAGGCCCAGCTGAATGGACCCATCAGCTATGGAAACTGTGGAAGAAAGGCAGGCTAAGTATTTTGTTATGCTAAACTACATACAAGAGAATACTTACTTTGCATTTGTAGAGCATTCTTAACCGAGGGACATCAAAGAGCTCAATAAACACTTAATTCCTATGACACTCTACCTACAGTAGCAAATATACCCACTGCAAAGGACTACTTGCAGCGTGAGGATGGTGAGTGAGCTCTCCAGGTTTGCACGGCTTGTCAGCAGCCGAGCTCTCCAAAACTCCGCTGAATTTCCCACATGGATGGGCTGCTCCATTTCACCAGTGCTCAGGTCTGGCTGCTTTCTGGTCTTCCCACGAAGTCCTTGTGCCCATAGTGTCCTGGGAGCTGGCAGAGCCCAGGAGCAATTTCTTATTGAGGAGCTGCCAAGACGCATCAGGCTGCCCAGCTCCACGCGGCAGTGGGATGCAACAGGGAAACCCTAAGAGGGAAGAGAGGATGCAGGTTTTCCTCTCCGCCATCCAGGTGCCGGAGGGGCTGGGAGCTGCTTTCCCGGCTGCCCGACAGTGCGATATGGACGTAGCCCGCTTCCTCCGGAAAGTTTTCCATTTAGGCTCCGTAGGTGTGTGGGAACCGGCTCCCGTCACACTAGCAACATATCTCTGCAGGGCTGGGCGATCTGGTTGGGAAAGCACAACAAAACAAACACAGCAGGCTCCAACCTGCGTGCGCCGCCTGCAACACTCCGGCTGGCTTCGCTTTGGATCCACACGAGCTCCGCGAGATGATCCGTGCGGAAAGACTGGAGCGGAGACACTTGCTGACCTGTCCAAACCACCTGTGACCATTGCACACTGAATAAAAGCAGAGGGCTGCTCATGTCCCAGGGAGATGTCCCTCCTCAGAGGTCTGGCCAGTAGTCCCCAGGCTTTGGGGTGCCAGAGCTGCCCAACATGAGGGAAAAGTAAGAAAGAGAAGGAGGAATTTGCACAGAAATCCAACTTCTCACAGAGAAAGATCTGCAGAAAATGTTAACTCGCTGGAAAACTGAAACGGCTCAGTCTGCACTTCCCTTTTGAACAAAAGGTCAGTATTTTCCATGGAAATAAGCTGCTTTTCCATCACGCTTTTGCTCTGAGCACATGCAAGCCTTGGGAGCCAGCGAGCTCTGCAGTTGCTGCCACCAGGTCTGACCCAGGTCCTGCAGGTATCGGTGGAGGCCTCTTCACCTGCCTTAAGGGCTCTTCGATGTGAGCAGCATCCGCTTCAGAAAGCAGTGGGCTGCCTTTGCCCCGCTGGGATGGACACCACATCCTTGCTGAACTGTGCAGCATCCTGAACTGCTCTGGTATTAGAGACTTGTGCCATGTAATGCAGTCGCTTGGCATCGTGCTGCTGCAGAAGGTCCACCCTGGCCATCCAAACCAGCACCACGCGCATGAGCCGCGCGAGGGGCTGCACCAGACCTCACTCCGGATTGTCCCTTGGCATTCCTTCATGCGCCACTTCGGGTCACATCAGCACCGCAGAAACCCAGGAGGGACGTTGGGCTGCGTGAGGCCAAGCGGGGACAGATCTGTTGTGCCACCAAGCCATGCTGCCCTCGTGCTCTGTGATGCAGCAGATACCCATCTCACCACTGAGGCTGTGATTCCCAAGGGGTTATTCCGCTCTTCAAAAGCAAGAGGTGGCAGTGAGTGGTTCAAGCGCAGCGTGTTTGGAACAAGGGGCTCCTGAACAAAAGCTGATACGTGTTTGGGAAATTAATAACTCCTCCGAGCTGAAAGGGAGGGGAGGAGGGAAGAGAGAAAGAAACCAGGAGAGAGGAAAGAACGCAGAGTAAAATGAGCGCAGGACAAAGTCTTTAAAGTGGAGCCAACTTCATTCAAAGGCACCGAGGGAAGTAATTACATTAGTTTACAAACGCCTTCATGTTTTGCAGCCTTCCCAGGTTCGGGGCGTGTTTCCAGTTGACTTTGACAGACTCCGGCCCTGCTGAATAAGGGCAGGACTGCAGCCCGTCCCGGCGGCTCTGCGGGCGACCGAAGCCCAAACCCACCCAGGTGCCAAGGCAAACAGCTCTGCCCGAGGCTGCGGCGTGTGGGGCTGCAATTGGGCTGGGCTCCGCGAGCGACGGCGCCGTCCTCGACGCCGGCACGATCCGCACCGGCCTCCCTTGGAAAGGCGAAAGGAAACAAAACCAACCGCACGCAAACAAGTCCCTTAACGCGCCGGTAACATTTTGCAAATGCTTTTGGAGAGCTCTGCAGCTGACAGCATGTGTAAAACCAGGTTTAGATCGCTTTGGCCCAGGTTTGACACACCCTCTTTTTCCAGGAACGCTCAGATATGAAGCATTTATTTATTTCTTCAAGAAAAGCATCCCTTGTAGCATGGCCAACAAAGCAAAGCGTAAGCACTGCTGGCCAGTTTGCCTCATGCACATGCATGTGGCCAGGCCACATAACCTGTTGGGGGCAAGGAGGAGGAATGCACGGAGACCTGAAGACCCGGGTGGGCTACAAAACCCCCCGGGCAAGGCACATCCAGCACAGGGGACTGCTGGTGCTGGGGTCAAACACAAGTTTTCATCGCCCACGGGCAGAGCAGAGGCACTGCCACCTCCCCAGGAGACGAAGCCAAAACGGGGTCTGCACCACAGCAACAAAGGCAGCCTGCAAAGAAAGATAACTAATAAACTCTATTTGCTCTGGCACGCTTTGTAGCCCTCCTTGCATTTCCCTCCCACGGCTAATGGCACTAGATTAGTTTTCGCGTTGCTCTTCATTCGTTTCCCCGTTGCAAATGACATCCATTACCGCTAAGCTTTTGGAGTTGTGCAATTCTTGGCCTATAAACGGTCCCAAAAACACGTTACTTCCCGCTGGCACTAACGAACAAGGACACATATCCACAAGTTTTAGACTCGGAAAAGCACATGCAGTGATTTTCTCTCTCTTTCTTATTTTTTTTTTTAAAGCAAAACATGAGTTTGGAGTCAGAACCACTGTTTCAAGTACCTGTGCAAGTGCTTTCTCATTGCACTGTGCTGACCAGAGGGCCCGCGCTGGGAACACAAGCAGCAATGACGATCATTTGCTGCATTGATTACAGCTGACATGTTTCTAATTCCACTGGGTATGCCACTTAAAATGCTCTTGTATTTATAATTTGAGTGGTGGCGTATTAGAATAATGCCATAACAAGTAAAAGCTGTAATTGTATGCTGGAATAAAGCTCCAAGACAAGTTTACAGGGTGTACTCTGGGATTTCTCTATTTTCTTTTCCATTTCCTGCTGTTCCCCTGCCTCTTACCTCTCCTGACAGCTCCAGGAATACTTCACATTTCAGAGCCATGCAAGCCACTTTAGATTAATGTTTTTCTCTCCATGGCCTACCAAAAGAAGCTGATTCTCTCCCCGATAACGAGACCGTGCAAGGACTAAACTGTTTTAGCAGCTTCTATCAGCTTAGGGGGATCAAACAAATACCTCGTGATGCAGAAACAGAACAAATGTTCAGTGCACCGTTATGTGGCTTTTTTTTCTGCTAGCAAAATGTGAAAAAGTGCGAGTGAGCAACCACTGACCACTTCTCCATAACTGGATAGCTTCAAAATTGGCTTAAATGCAGCTTTGGGGTGAATTATTTCAGCACGCATGTGTGCAAGGGGCACAAATGGATGGGACTACATCTTTAGACACAGGTATGTATGAGTTACAGCTCTGCTGGCTTGCCAGCTGGCACGTTTTACTCACATCATCAGGGCTAGGAAAGCTCTTGATGGTGATTTAGTCATTTCTTTATCTAGCCATAAATTAGCTTATCAATTCCCTGTCGCTATGCAGGCCTGGGCTATAGGGTCGCTGGGGTCTGTCTTTGCTCCTTGCTCCATGCAATACCTAGTCTCTTGAGCAGTGAAATTCAGTGCCCAAAAGGGAAACAAGCTCTGCTATTGCTGGGCAACTATTGACACTTGAGGATATTAGATCTCAGGCCTTTTATACTTGCTAAAGGCTCAGAACAGGAACCAACACAGGCATTAGCCACTGAATACGTTCCCTGGGACAGCTACTAGTTTCACATCACACTGCAAAGCTTTCAGGACCCAAGTTTTAACGTGTGCCTTACAGGAAAGTGCTCCCCTGAACCTTAATGCTACTGACTTTAGCTTAGATGAGGCTTTCCTAACTTTTAAGGGACCCAACTGGAGCAACTGTGCTGTTAACAAGAGGGAGTTAAGCTCTTAGAGCACACGCATGGATCTCAAATGCTGACGTGTTGGAGCCGTGCAGAAAGCCACCACAGCTGAAGGAAAGGCCCAGCTTTTGTTTAATTCAGAATCTGTGCCCATAACCAGCTGTTCCTATTATTGAGACACAATAAAGGCAGAAATCCTCAAAAATCCCTTGCATTCAGAAATTCAAGTTGTTGTGTTTTAACCTTTCTTTGGACCTTTCCAAACCCGCAGGCCCAAGGAATTCAAGGCTGCACATTGACTTGTATTTACACACTCTCTGTCCAAGAAATGTGAAAAACATATTGCAAAAGTACTTATTTCTAAGCAGCTGTCCCCAGACTTGATGTCAGGGCAAGGCAGATCAATTATGGGACCATCAGCGTCTCCTTGAAGTGCCTTCCCAAGGCTTCAGGGCCAGTCCCTGACTGGGATTTTGCTTCGTTCAGGAAAAGATTTTATTGTTGCCTGCTGGTCTCCAAACTTTGACACTTCTTTACATAACCATCAAACTGCATGCAGGCAAAAATGAGTATTTCTCTAAGCCCTAAACTTGTGCTTCTGTTTCCTCTTCCAAAGAGCTGTATCTCTCACAAGCACATTTACATTTCTATCTTCCCGGAGAGAAGTTTCTCTTCTGCCACATGATATTTTCTTTTTAAGAGAAAATATCTCCTAATTCAGCTGGAATTAAAAGTCACAGGAGCCCTTTGGTCATTCTGCATAGCCTCCCGCCATGACAAGGAATCGCATTTTCCAATCACCTTGTAATTTACTGAGCTCAATCTTGGGTTTTACCCCTCGCTCTCCCTCGCTGGCAGGTTGCCTCTGAGCCTTACACCTCTGATAGTTTGAAACCTCTTCCAATTTCCTGCCTGAACGCATTCAGAGCCAGTTTATATCTATGTTGCTGTGCCAAACTTTGAGCTTGAGTAACTACTCATCCTCCTTTAATGCACAGGGAGGGATCACATCCATCCCTTTCATTTGCTGCGATGAACAAACCAAGCCCTTCCAAGCCCTCCTCAACAAAATAACCTTTCCAGTGTCCCTGTTCCCACTGCTTCCAGTTTGAATTTCTTGAGCAAGATATCAGGAAATTTTGCCAGTTTTCCTGGTGACGTCTTATCGTGTCTTATGCAAGGGTATTACAATACTTTTCAAATTACTATCTTCACCCTTGTGTTATAAACATATTTAGAAAGCACTTATGATGGTTATGTAAACACTTGGTAATCACGCACACTGATCAGCCATAATACAAGGGATAGACTTTCAATTCAGCTCTTCAATGAAATCTCTGGATAATTATCTATTAAAAAAATGGACTAAGACTTTTTTTTTTTTTCCTGTTCATTAGTGGGCACTAAGCAACAACCCATGGCTTTCACTTGCCAAGTATCACAGACCATCTGGCTCATGCTCGAATCAGTACAGGAATTCAGGGAGAACTCATAGATTTGGGCTGGTTCTCCTTTAGGTTACAATTAACAAATATTTTAGGCTATGCATCGAAGGGAGTGTCCAAATTCTGAAACGACCTACAGAAACTGCCAGAAACCGATGTCATGTTTGTTGGCCAATGTCCCCTCTGACATCCTGTAAATTGCTGTGCTGAGTGAGTTGCGAACACTGTCTCCCAAGGATATCGAGGTAGGAAGGATCTCTTCCAAGCATAATAAGAGAACTGCATTCGTCTTTCAGGGGACTACTTACCTCCCCAGCTCATATGCTGCATAGAGATTTTAATAAAGTGGAATATTACAGAAAAACTTGCTTCACTTCATCTGTTTCATGTCAGAGAAAGACAACAGTGAAGCACCAGAAGGTAGAGGAAAATTCACTCCCTGCAAATCTATATTTTCACCCCAGTCTGACAGCAGTGTCCTCCGAGCAGATTAGACTGGGGCCCACCAGCTGCTTCACGGCAGCTGGAGGCTTCAGCAGCCGCTTTAGACATGCGACTTCAAGAGGCTCCACATCACGTACGCACACTTGACTCATCGACCAGAAAGCCACACGTCTGTCTGCAATCTTGCACCGCTCCAGCGCCAGCAAGTTGCTGCAGAGACACCTCCTAACCACAGAGCTCCAGGTCGCGGGAGGCAGATCGGGCTGTTCCTGCACCTCCCTGCATCGCCAGGCTGCACAGGGAACCTCCCAGGGCTGCAAATGCTGCAATCCTGGCGCTGCTGGAGACGGGCAGCGGTGCTGGGAGAACGTGGGCGGCAGCGATGCAAAGAAATGCAGGGTGCTGCCCTTCCCATGGGGACAGCGAGGTCTGCGTGGTCCTGCCACCACGTGCAGGGGACAAACCTTGCTCTCCTCTCCTTAGTGCCTCCTCTGCCATCCCCAAAGAGCTCCTGGATGAGCTGGGCTGGAAGGATTTCAGCGCCTGTCTTAGGCGCTGTTTACGGTACCAGGCTGCTCTTCATCTCCATGGTGATTCAGACAGGTCTGAAGCAGCAAATCTGCTAAAAAGACCCAGCAATGCGGAGAGAGGCATGCAATTAGAAACCTGGTGTTTGTTTCAAGGAGCACAGTGACCGATGAAAGAAACAGATGCTGGAGGAACCTAAAAATAGAGCAACCTGGGTCACAAGACAGCAGTACCTACTGCTGGGGCTCATGGGCTTTTTTCTCCTGCGCATCCAGAACTCCCTGAAGGCACACACACTCTTTCTTAAAATGCATCTGCAGCAAAGACATCTGGGGATCAAATAAATATCCGGTCTTCTGGAATATATCATCACTCTGCTGGAAGATGGTTTCAATCACTGTACGTGCCATGCTGTACTCATCAGAGATCATGTCTACCTGGTCAGGTGTAAGCGGTCACCAAGCAGCTGCATTTTGACTCAAAGCTGCGTGGACTTAGACATCTGCACACAAGGTGGTGCCGAGTGAAGGTCATCCCAATGTGGAAACAGTCCCACCATGACGTGCCCTTGGAAATGCAACTGGTTCACGTCCTCTCAGCTGGAGGAGCAGCAGAGCTACGTCATGCCCATCTGTACCTGGCCACATCGCCGTGCCTTGAACCTCCAGGAAGGCTCTAAAGGAATCTCTAGCATATGGAAGGTGACAGAGAGTGAGGCTGTCACCTAATTAGCATGGTCAGATGGCAACAAATGAAACATACGGTGCTGCGGAGCATAAACCAAGCACAGAGCAAGGCTTGTAGAGACAGGAGAAGACAAAACCCCAAACAACTGGATTTTCTCTAATCAGACAGATAGTATTTACAGCCTAAGGGTGGTGCCAAAATATTTCAGGAAATGCCTAAGTCCTTCTGAATAAAGCTCAGGAAAACACAATATTCAAAAGACAGTAACTACTACAATAAGAATGAAAGCTTTCCACCCTCTCCCAGCCGCCTTACACGGTTTAAAATGATTGCCATAGCAATTATCAAGGCTAACCTCATTTTGCAATCTCCTCTGCAAATTAAGTTCTGAGTTGAACATGTAAAAGATCAGCATAAAAACTAAGCGAATCATGTAAACTGCAGAGAACAGAAATCAATGTGCTTTGCACACAGACAGCATGCTGAGGTCTAATCCATCCTATTAAATTCCTATGCAGAGATATTTAAACTTCATCTGAGCGATTCTTTCCAATTAGTGGCAGACATCAGGCTTGAAAAAACAAACCCCAAATACTTGGCCCGTTTTTAGAGTAACCTACCAGCTTTGACTGTTTGTCCTGGACTCACCACATGGGCACGAAGGTCCAGGAGAGCAGAATGTGTCCAATAAATCCCCTGGACACACTGGAGTCCCACCACATTTTTTCCATGAAACATTAGTAGGTATGTCTGTATCGTATGCTCCCTTTCCTAACCACAGCAAGCTCCATCCTAAAAGTATTTGTTTTTCTCCTCTCAACTGCAAATTACACCTACAGACGCACAAAACCAGCAGTCCCCCGATGATCACATCTTGATTTTTCTGTCTAGCTGCGTACTCAGGCCACGTCTCCCTCTGAACATCTTTGTTGGGCAGCTAGAAACAGAGCTGCATGCAGAAAGTGCTCAGGGCCCTCAAAGCAAACCAGGTCAAGCATTTCCAAGGAGCAGCTTAGAAACATCCCCTTTGCAGTAACTTGGTGGTTGTTTCTACCTGCTCGGGTTTGAGGCCGGGAGGGACCCACGCGTACTCTTCCAAGGCACAGCCGGAGTCATCGTCGGAGGTCGAATTCCTCTGGAAGTCAAACATGAGCTTGGTGACGGTCTTCTCCATCTCCAGAGGCATAACGGTCACGATGTGCTCTTCCTGGGAGCACTTACAGTGCAGGCAGATCTTCCTGCAGGTACAGCAGGGGAAGAGAGGAGATCCCCAGGTGAATTTCATTTAAAAAACAAACATACAAACCCCCCCAGAAGATGTAAAAGCCATTTGTGATAGTCACTCAAACTACCCTTGCATCATGCAGCAGTATTCTGGAGCACAGCAATAATAAATAAATAACAGAAATAAACTCCCTCTTTGCTCTCACAGCATTTGGCACTTGAGCTGAGTCAGACTGTCAAATGTTTGGGGACACACAATTGCTTGTCCCTTTACTGTACTGTAATGAAGAACATTTCCAGGGGCTAACGTATGCCAGGACCAAATCCCTGCCTGGTGCCACCATTGATTAAGTGCAGGTGCCAGCTTTGCACCAGCTGAGCATTTAGCCAATATATAAAATGGTGGATTGCCTGGGAAGCTCTGAGTGACAAGCCCCTTTAGCATGCTGATAGCATACATTGGCTTATTAAAGTGGCATAAAATTGATTATAGTCTGAACACATACAATTAAATTAAATTAAATTAGGGGAGGCTGCAGAGCCCGTAGTCACACCGTGATGGGCTCCGAGGCGCCCTGCTCACCCAGCACGTGCTACAGCTCTGTGGTGTCCCAATGCTCATCCGCTCCACGGGGTATGGACACGCATAATAAGAATGGTGAAAAGGGTGCAATTTAACAGATATTCACCTAATTCATTGCAATGACTTTTTTTTTTCTTTTTATATTTCTTTTAAGGGTTCGTTCCTGCACCCTGTAGATCGTTGTAGATTTTTTTTCATGGGCTTGCACCCAAGCAGTGCAGAGCAGCCTCATTTATCTGTGCTGCCAGGACAATCACTGGAGGAAATTACAGAGAAAATGTAGGGGAGAGTGTGAAATCGGTCACCCTGGGAGCTGGAATTCAACCCAGTTTGGGTCAAAGGGAGCGTGGATCAACTGGGATTCTACCCTATATTTTACTTCTATTTTAAAGTAATCATGTAGGACTTGGCTGCTGTTGACTTCTGAGGGATTAGATATGATGTCCCTTAGGTAGCACAAGGCAGAATCAGGCCCACGTCTCGCAAATCAACAAGTCAACACACAAAATGAGGAAAAAAATAATGGTTGCAGCTTTCTCTGCGAAGGCAAAGCAAGGGGAAACCAGAGGGCAGAAACAGTTAAACATGAGGAGCTTTAATTTTCAGACACCTTTCCTTCTTTTCCACCATTGCATAAAAAGCAAGCTAAGCACACCCGCGCCAAGGTCCAGATTTGAGTCTAAATTTCCACTTGGCCATTACAGCACAAAAAATGCACTCTAGCAAAAGTCAAGAGGCTCCGTTAAGTCAAGCCAGGGAGATTTGCCAGATTTTCCCATTTCCTGCCTTTCATCAGATCTAAAATACACACAGACCCAAACGCGCCCCGAGCGTCTGCTTTGCGTCCAGTCGGAGAGTCCCAGCACTGCCTCTGGCTGTTACCTTAAAAAATAATCAAGGCACAATTTCACGTGAATACTTCAATTAATCAGCTACCGTGGAAAGGTTCTCCGCCTCGGCAGAGCTGTTGCCTTCTCGGCTGCTTCCATCTCATTTCACGATATGATTAGATACAGCTCAATATGCAACAAAATGTTAAGAATAATTAATATCTTCAGAGCTCAAGACTCAGCTTTGGAGACGCAGGCCGTTGCTCTGACAGAGTTTAGTGCTTCTTTGCCAAATTTAATTTGCAGAGTATCAATCACCAGCTTCAAAGAGGGACAGCCCAAGCTCAGAGAACTAATAGAAGAAATTTGCACTATCAGGTGGCAAAATAGAGCAAACAGCAAAGGGAGAGCACTGGAGCGAAGGCAGATCTCTATGTAATTGGACTCCTGGATGTGTTTCCCAACAGGCAACCCACTAGGATCCCGAAGGGACCCTCGCGCATGATGGCAATGGGTTTTGCACACACAGTGCATCAAAGACATTGCCACCACCCTGCAAACCAGTGACTTCTGCCATCCACTTCAGCTGTCCACAAGCACTGTAACACGAGGGAAAAAAAAATACTCCACATCTCCCTCCTCTTCCCAGACCAGGACAATGTGCTTTGTAATAGCTTTGTACCTTTAAAAATTGAGCACAGAGCTTTTGCCACCTCCCTGGGCAGAGGGTACAAACTTGAAGATCTTGCTCTTGAGATACTGATTCTGCTCCTTTCCTCTCATTAAAGGCAAAAGATTAACAGTTTTAATTACAAGTATTTTATTTACATTAGGATATGTTGTTTCATGGGAACGATACACCATGTCCTAAGAGGATATTTCAACTACTACGATATGGTTTCCATGACTTCTTTACATCGGTCTCACTTATTCAACTTTATTTTATCGTCTTCCAGCTCAACGTAATTAAAAATAATTCCCTATGGCAAAAATTTAATATAAAAATGTACATTTCAAATGTGAGATGAAATTGAAAAAGCAATATCACCAATTGCGCTCAATAGAAGAACCTCCTTGAGTATGCCAGCTTGATAAAGGTGCCAGTACCGAACCAGGCGCCAGGGTGACCAGAACACCAATGCAGTGCTGATGTGCAAAGCCAACACACTGCAGAGAGCGCGAGGTCCACTCTGAACAGCTTGGATAAGGGAGATGACGGTGGAGACAAGGCTGTTTATTCCTTGATGCACACATGGGAAGAGCGTCAGAGCCTGGAGCAGCTCAGCGCTCCTCAGCAGCGCGTCAAATACCTTACCATATAAAGGATGTCCCAGTTCAGGTACAGCTACACATCCTGCGAAGGGATAAATCCATTAACTTCCTTCTATCCAGACACGACTAAACAACACTGAAGCTTTGTTAACAAAGACTCTTGCTTCCAAAGTGCTGGGCAGCCCCTGATTATCCATCACGATCAGATGAACCTGATGCTAATTGAGAAAAGAGTAAGGAAGTTTTTAAATGAGAAGGAAACAAGGCCAATCGCTCAGTGCGTCTCTGGAAATCTCATCTTCATTTCAAAGCCACTCCTCCTTGCTTTTGGCCACATAAGAGTAGGAGTCACGCTCTACCTCCACATGTTAGTCCCAAAGAAAGCGTTGAGGGTCTGCAAGCTCATCCAAGGATGAGCAACTTGGCAACTACTGTCCTGAGGCCCTGAGCAACTACTGGACCTAGAGATTAGAGAGGCCACTGAGTATTTTGGAGTATTTTGGAGTATATGGAGTATTTTGGTGCTGTTAGAAATATCCTGGAGTTTCAGTTGTCTCCAGAAGCTGAAGATTGAAGATACTCAGGAACATGTGTTTTCTCACTAACATGAGGAGAACTGACAGCATTTCAGGTGTGGAAAGTAGAGAGAATGGTTGGAAAATAGCAGTAGTTTGCGGACAGAGGGAAAGAAGAGGGCACCAGCGACGTTGCTTCTGGTGGCCTCACCTACAGAACAGCCTTGGTATTTCTCTTTGGTAAGGAGCTGTACACTTGTTTGCCCTGAGGCAGGGCCAGAAAGGAGGGAAGTAAATAGGGAGAAAATAACATTTCCTGGTTGGAGATTTAGCTGGAAAGAAGCCTGCCTGGAATTGACTTCACATGGTACAAAGAAGTAATGGCTGGAAAACAGATTGCAAAATAAAATACATCTATCTTGTAACTTCATCAGATGAAGTGCTGACCTCAAGTAGAACAGATTTTTCAAAGTCTGCTTTATGCAGTGCTCTTGGCACGATGGCCAGGGCGCTCCACCGAGGAGGAACTAACCCCTACTCCCAGTTACATCCCCACCCATCCGCTGGCGGCGAGGGAAGGGAGCAGAGCCGGATCCATCACCCCTCACAGCCCTCAGCAAAGCAACACCAATCCTCCTTCTTTAAAAACAAGCAAAAAACGGGGAAGCTGAAGCAAATGGGCCCAAACACATCCAACAGAGAACATGGCTCCCAAGCCCCTTCTAGCTTGGGATTCAGAAGCACGTTTCCAGCCTCGGTATGCCAAGTCCAACATGAAGCCAGCTGACCTGTAGCCTCCCTGGGACAAGGAAATCTCTTGTTGTACACAGTGCTTAGCACAGCACAACCTCTGCCATCGCTGGCGTCCCTCAGCAGTCCTTTCATAACAGCAACAGCGCTAACAATAAGCTAAACTATGTGGAAAACACTGTTGCTATCCAAGAGCCTGCAGGGAGAGCCAGGAGTGCACCCAGGGCTCCTGGAGGAGAGGGCTCTCTGCTGCAAAGCGCTTGCAAGAAGTCTAAGCAGGGAAGGCCTGGTTACAGCTAAGGCACTGGGGTTATAGCTACACTGGCCAAGTGTCCCCCGAGAATGACAGCAGACTAAGGGGCCTCCTCCTGGCAGCAGCAAGGAGCATCATGGGGCAAGCTCTGTATTGGGATGGCCACGCGAGCCACCAGCCTTACGGTGTCGCAGGGAGGGCTGCGTGTGCCACACTCGTGAATGGATTTCTGTGCATGCATCAGAAACACCTCAAAAAGCAACCTTCTTCCATTCAGCTCAGGGGCAACGTGCACAAGTCACTGCTCTTCTCCTTTGGCTTAAGACATACACATGTATCTTCCAGGATTGCACCACCCTTTTGATTGCAACAAGACTTTTCAGTCAATCTGCAGTCACTAAGTCACAAGGCTCCTTTGGAGATGACACCTGTGACCGGCAAGCCTCTGAACCAGAGCTTCCTAATGTCTCCTGCTATCTCCTCCCCTCAGCTGAGGGCTAACGAGGCATCCTGACACCCTCCATGAGCTCCAGTTACACAGATCCAGTTCTCCTGACCCCACAGGCAAACACTGATCTAAAATGAAACATTAACAGTTGTTCACTTCTTTTTTTCAGGCTAATCCTGCATCTGGAGATCACCAAGGAGAAACCTAAGGAGCCAACGTAAGGAAGGCAGCACGGGGCTCTGCAATGTGCTCGAAGAAGGGCTGCTATAGGACTTCCCACAGGCATGTTTCATTCAGCAACACTGCTCCACCATAGCCTGCTGCGACCAAAGGCCCAGCAGCTGCCAGGAGAAGCGCAGGGAG